CTGTAAAAAATGGCTGACTTTTTCTGTTACACGGAATAAATGCGCTTGTACTTCGCGATTTGCCACAAGTGTTCTGTGCGCCTTAATGTTATGCAACGCAGTTGCAGAAAAACGAAACGTACCTCACATGATCGTCGGTGAACAATAATCAAGTTAGTCGGCCCCAACCAGTATCACAAGCGGTGATTGAATCCCTCCAATTTAATCTGTAGTAGGCATGAAGACCTATGGATCTTTGTGTTTCACGCGGTAATTGTCTGTTATCAACGGTGACCATCAAGCAGTCTGGTTCATTATCGTATCGGACCGGCGATCTTGTGTTCGAATTTCTACCTCATTCGTCCATTCACAGGCACTGATGATGTAACCTCGGTTGGTGATGAAACGTTTGCAAACAAATTGCCAAGCTCGGCGAAGAGGCGAAATGAAATTCAGTTCGCCCGAGCTACGAGAACCAATTTTCAATATTTTGTCAACAGAGAGAACACTAGTGGTTCATATAAACCATTGTTTGTCAACGTGCGAAATGTGCGTGTCTGTTTTGTTCAATGTCACGATTCTACCTACCGTTCTGCCGTCTAGCTTTCTTTTTCTAGTACCGCACAAAAGCACATTCCACTTATGCACATTTGTGGTCTTAATTGTTTCACCTCTCACAACCACTGACCACGAAATTTCGCGCGATGATTGTTTTTTATGTCGGCTACCCTTTATTAAATCAGTGAGGGAAGAAGTAAACTGATGATGTCAAAGCGTACGAACAAGGTAAATATACGGAAGCTCGGAAACTAGAGATGCATGTAACGTGACTTTACGCACGAGACTCTCTCTCTTTACTCGTTAATTAATTTGATCACTAGAATCTTCCCAACTAAAATTCCAAATGCGATCTTTACGAGATTTTCATACTCTCAATCCTGTCACAGATGTAAAACCCTTCCCAGACAGTCTTCACAAGGAAGAGAGAGAGATAAACCGTCCAGTTGCTCTCAGAACTTGCTTTAAAGAGCTGTGTCTGAAAATGTCTGGTAACCGATCACGAGTGTCAGGAATAATATTTGGAACTCTTATGGTCGATTCATGTAGATTATCTCTTGATTAGAGGCACTGAAGAAGATAGAGAAGCAAGTCGAAGTCGGGGATCTCTTGGAAGTAGAACGCTTGTGCGAACACCATTCGGGCTGCGTGATTTGTCTGTACATATTTCATCATTAGCCGGAGTGGCACTCCACGCTTGTGGTTGGTTCTCTTGTCAGACGTGTACAATGTGGTTAGCCTCCCTCTCATATTTCTTTGTTTAGTTCGCATCTGTTGTAGTCGGATATCGTCATCATCATTCCCCGTCCGCATTCACATCCCCTTCCTTTTCCCCGGCCTATCCCTTCATTTGATTCGATGCACGCTTGTTTAGAATCGGAGTGTTCCGCGGACTTCGTGCCCAACAAAGTGGTTCCAATTGTGATCGGGGTCGCATTGGCCGTCATGATTGTGATCGCCCTGGTCACCTTCATCGTTGGCAGTCGTCGACGCCAAAGTGGTTACCAGGAGATCTAATCGACAGGTTTTGTGCGTGTGCATTAAAAAATGGAGAAACTGCTTACACCAATTCCCATTCCCCTCAGGAAACATGTGTCTGTTTGCATATTACAATCTCTGGTCCACAGTGCTCTCTCAATCGTACATACAATCATCCTCTCCACCCGCATTCGTGCATGCGTAACTTTGTCCACGGCATTCATTCGCAAACCCAGATGACCGAATTCGCAACCAGTAAGTGAATGAGAATGAAGAGTTGAAAAAGCGCGGGAGGGAGGCAGGAGAGAGAGAGAGAGAGAAAACGCACGTAAGAGCAACTGGCGCCAAATCTCCCACGCGCGACGGTTTACGTCTGTGCGACTTGTGATCAGCTCGTGATCCATGTGTGTTCTACTCGCATTCAAAGTCATTGCTCTAGCTCATCATCTTAATCCGTGTTTTTGTTTACGGACACATCGACTAATAGACAGTCCAATTGACGAAATTGTGATTTGATCCCAAACTAAGCCTATCCCCTCCCCCCCCCCCCCTTNCTTCACCCCATTGTGCATGTCGATCAAACTTGCTCCCGCTACCCGCCACCCTTTCACAACGTCCGTACGAAAGCAACACGAGTTGCGGGATCTTCGAGGAATCTCTTCCACCGTGTCATTACTCCTCTCCCTCGTATCCCATGGGCGTCAACATATTTTTTCACTATTGTATTTCTCGTTTTGGACAACGGCCAAAAAAAACTCATTTTCCGCTTTTTCCTTTTTCACGGTGATTAGTGAAGCTGCTACTACTTTTTTTAAATGCACGTAAGGGTGACAACGATACTCCGGTTTGATTTATCACCTGAAACAACACTGCCAATAATTTATTGTTTCAGTTCAAGGTTTTTCAGTGTAATCTAACTGCCAGGCACGTTTACTAGGTCTAACCTGGCGTTATTCACCACCATCATCATTCAGTGGAATATAGCGAAACGAATTTTATTGATGATTGCCAAGCTCAGAATGGACAGCGATTGGGCCTAGTTGATGAGGGGCAAAGAAAGTGAACCTCTATGGCCAACACACAGTA